TAAGGGATTAAATTGTCAAGATGACAAGACAAATCAAGGATCATGTCAAAGGCAAGTTCAATGTCAAATTACAAGTTCATTCCATACAAGACACGACCATGTGAATTTAATTCCATACAAAGGAAATAATTAAATATAAGTTTCAAAACTTATCCGGTTATTCTCAAAATGATACACGTGAGGGAACTTGTCAAGAAAAACATGATTACTAAGTTAGAAACTTAATCAATACCAATGAGCCATTGAATAGATTTTAATTAATTCATTTAATTAAAATCTCTAAGTTTTGAAATTCATCTAAATGATCTCAATTTGATGTATGTTATACAACATGTAAAGACTTGATTTAAAAACATGATACAAGTGAATTCTAAGCAAGATACGTCCATCAGTATTAAACTTTAATACTAGAAAAATAATAAATGAAAGGTTTCAAAACCAAATCAAATATTCTAGATTTAATATATATGAAACTATATAGCATACATATCAAAAATATCAAATCGGAATTCAAATGAGATGAATAGTACATATGGAATAATTTAATTAATCAATTAATTAAATATTCTCTAAATTTTAAAACACCCCCGATTACTCTCAAATTCACCTATGTTGAAGAGCATACTAGGGCCTAATATAATATGGTAACACACATTGATTTCAAACTAGTTAAGACCACATAAATTAATCTTTCACCTAAGATAAATATTAAATAAAAACTTCATTACTTGTCTAAAAGCTCTCAATTTAATATATGTCAATGATCATGTCAAGGGGTAATATCCTATCATGCCACATGTTTAAAACAAACTATGAACAACCGGGAAAATCAAATCTCATTCAAGAAAATTAAATAATAAAATCTCTAGATTTTATATTTAAGCATCTAAACAAGTTGTATAAGTATCAATATCATACTATATAATAAGAATATAAATTATAGCACCCCCTAACTCAATTTGAGATGAAAACCTCAAAGGCCCACCGAAATAAAAGTGCTCCGAATCCGACGATACCGAATGGTTTTGTCGGGGACAATACGATGAACAAGAATCTCTAAGAAGCCCCATGAAAATCACAACTTGACTTCAAATCCAAACTCAAAATTTGATTAGAAATGGGTTCTAATAAGGGTGAAAGGTAGAACACGTTGAGGGAAATAATAAACGTTAAGGCCAAAGACTTTTCACTTAGGAATCAAGTGGAGGAGAAGAAGAAAATGTGGCAAACCCGTGGACATCCATGCCTGCCGGCCAAGAAAGGAAGAAAAAGAAGAAAATCTGATTTTTCTTCTTTAAGTCCCCTATTTATAGAAAATCTCAAAAAGTGCCCCAAAAGGGTCCCGCCGGGTCTGGAAAAGTGAATTTTGAGTAAACGCGCTCAAATGACAAAACTTTGTGAACAAAAAAGATTCAAAATGAGAAAATATAAATAATGAAAGAAACAGCGTCCAAAACCAAGTCCCATGCAAAGAGATACGCCCCGAATAAGTTCGGCGGCAACCGGGGTTAGAAACTTTAAAATTGGAGAAAAATGCGCAGAACGAAATTCTAAGAGTACACAACTCAACGAACTGTGAAAATGAATCCCATACGAGAATCCAAACTCCAGAGGAGGTATTTTTGCAATAACATTCGTTAATTGCACAATGGCCCCTCTAAAAAGTGAAAACTGCACTAATGACCCATAATTAAAATATCTTCCAAAAATATTTTCTTAGATACCCCTGAAATAAAATATCTTCAAAAGATATTTACGAAAAACACCCCAAGAAAAGAAAATAATTCTAAAGAACTATGCATCCAATTCCCTATGGACACCGGGAGCAACCAGAGTACTTTGTTGCAAAAGTAAAGATACGTATTTCGAGGAAACCACTGAAGATGAAGACACATGAAGTCAAAAACCAACTCCGAGCATCAAAAGTCAGGTTGTGCCAAAAACTGACAAACGGGGAAAAGACAGAATAAGGAAAAAAACGAAATAGGGAAAATGACAAAAAGTGAATAGTGTCCGAAAAGTGAAAATGCGAAAATGACTCGGTTCTCAAATAAAGTTGTCAATTCGTATGAAAGAGTCTCAGAAACCAATTCCAATCACTCGAGACGACACTATATGACAAGAAACAGAACTCATAAAAGAAAATTAAACGAAAAAAAATTTATCCGTAAAATTTTAGGAAAAAGGAAAGGGAGGCAAATGATCGGGTCATTACAGGACGAGTGGGGGCTAATATATGTTCAAACTTAATAATTGTGTTCTTATTTTGCAAAAGATGATTGCTTCATTTAAATTTAGTGATTTAGTTTTTTATTTCTTGTTGACGTACTTTATTAGATTGGATGGATGATAACTTTTTTGATATTCGTGGTGACTTAAAGTATTTTGTAGACGTGGTACTTGACTTGATGGTTTTGATTTAATGAAAAGTAATGGATTTTGGTTGTTCTATTTCGTAAATACATGTTAGGCTCTTAATAAGAAGGTTTATAAATTTTTTAACAACAGTGTTAGGAAATTAAGATTTTCTTGACAAATGGATTTAGTTCCTATTTTGGAACATTGATGAATGGTGAATTGGAGTATAAAATTGATAAATGATGAATTTTTTAATTGTAGAATGAATTTTTTGTTGTAGTGATAGGCATTGATGAACATTGATGAATTTTTTAATTGATGAATGGATTTAGTTCCGGGAGAAAAACTTTGAAGAACTGAGGGCACTTATTAGGTAAAGAGAACTTTTTACGAGGTTTCACCATTGTTTGATCTTTCTCCTTACAAGGTTAAAGCCCTAACCCTAATTTTGATAGCTCTTACATTAATTTGTGGAGGTAAGTTCCTATTTTGTAAGAACCGAGGGCACCTCCTAAAGGATAATTTGGGTTCCAGGTCCTATTCCATTATGGAATTGGCTTAAAAGCAGCTTCTTTACCTATAAAGTAGAGAATAATTGTGTTTACGATATATTGTAGAATTAAAAAAAAAAAAATTAGCAGATAAACAATGTTCCAAGTGATCTTGGACTATATTTTGTACTATTCATTCCCTTAAGTTAGCTAGATTAGAATATAGTTTGTACTCTTTATGGCACTAATGGATTTATTTGTGAATGTAATATGCAATCTAATTACTGGTGTGGGGTTTAATATCATTTTCAATTGCAAAAAATAAGTCCCTTTTTGCGAAGGTACTATTTTTTTTCCATATGTACCACGTTTTTGAACTGAAGATACCACTTTTTGGCCTCCAGATACCATGTTTCGTAAACACTCGCTTAGCTAGCTTGGAGAATATTGTGTTATTTATGGCGCTGATGGAGGTGTTTATAGATCTAATATGCAACTTAATTAGCGGTATGGGGTTTAATACAATTTTCAATTGCAAAAATAAGTCCTTTTTACGAAGGTACCACTTTTTTTTCCTAAGGTACCACATTTTTGAACTGAAAGTACTACTTTTTAGCCTCCAGGTACCATGTTTCGTAAACACTCGCTTAACTAGCTTAGATAATATTGTGTTATTTATGGCACTAATGGAGCTGTTTATGGATGTAATGTGCAACTTAATTAGCAGTATGGGGTTTAATACCATTTTCAATTGCAAAAATAAGTCCCTTTTTGCGAAGGTACCACTTTTTTTCTAAAGATATCACGTTTTTGAACTGAAGGTACTACTTTTTGGCCTCCAGGTACCATGTTTTCTAAACACTCACTTAGCTAGCTTGGAGAATATTTTGTGTTATTCATGGCACTAACGGAGCGGTTTATGGATTTAATGTGTAACTTAATTAGCGATGTGGGGTTTAATATCATTTTCAGTTGCAAAAATAAGTCCCTTTTGCCAAGGTACCACTTTTTTTTTTTTCCAAAGTTATCACTTTTTGGCCTCCAAGTACTATTTTTTATAAACACTCGCTTAACTAGTTTGGAGAATATTTTGTATTATTCATGGCGCTAATGGAGCTGTTTATGGATGTAATGTGCAACTTAATTAGCAGTGTGGGGTTTAATACCATTTTCAATTGCAAAAATAAGTCTCTTTTGCTAAGGTACCACTTTTTTTCCATAGGTACCTCGTTTTTGAAGTGGAGGTACCACTTTTTGGCCTCCAGGTACCATGCTTTCTAACTTGGAGAATATTTTGTGTTATTCATGGCGCTAATGGAGCTGTTTATGGATGTAATGTGCAACTTAATTAGCGGTGTGGGGTTTAATACCATTTTCAATTGCAAAAATAAGTCCCTTTTGCTAAGGTATAATTTTTTTTCCAAAGGTACCACGTTTTTGAATTGAATGTATCACTTTTTGGCCTTCGGGTACCATGTTTTCTAAACACTCGCTTAACTAATTTGGAGAATATTTTGTGTTATTTATGGCCCTAATGGAGCTATTTATGGATGTAATGTGCAACTTAATCACATTACACATATATATAATTGGGTTAATTCCACCTACACCCCCTCTAGGTTTCAATATTCCACACACACCCTGTAACCTTTGACCATACGTATCAACTTACCCCCTGCCGTTAAGTAACAGACGTTTAATGCTGATGTCAGGATGGATAAATGGGTAGAAGGTCAATTTTGCCCTTTACAATGGCTGAAATGACATTTTTAACTTTATTAACCATTGCAGAGTTACAAAACTATCTTTATGAAGTGTTTATTGAAAGAGTGTGGTATCTCTTTGATAACTATTGAGATTAAATTATCCTTCTATTCGACACTATGGAACCAAGGAAACAACAGGCCAATTTTCCATTCATTCAACAGCTTCAATTTTGGAATGAATTTTTTTTTATAATACATTTATGTAATAGTTAAAGAAAATTCAGTGAGGCCCTAGTATAATAAGCCATATAATACTAATTTATAAAAACCCAATGCAAAAGAGCAACTTCATTTCATTCCATCTAAGATAGATGCCAGTATAATAAGTCATATAATGGTTGCAAAAACATACCAACCTAATCCACAATCAAAACTTACAAAGCTATTCTTCTTTAAAAGTTCAAAAATAGCTAACACCAACAGATCGCAAAATACCAGGAAAAAAAATGACACTGTTCAACATTACAAATGTCCCATATCCCACATCATTTCAAGTACTTTTTGGATTCTGAGATCCTCCTATCCCACTTCCTCTAGCTCTCAATTGGGCAAATACAGGTATGTAGTTCGTTGTCTGTGGTAAACCAATTTGTGGCCCTTTTTCCTTTGTGTGGTCCTAGTAAGAGTCCTCTTGTTTGTGTATTTAATGGACATGCATTCTCTCTGTCTCTGTGTGTAGTTGGAACAAAAGAGCCACTTTGTCTCTGTGACTATCACATGCAATAAAAATTAAGGTATTGTATAATAATAATAAGGAACAAAAGCAATATAAAAACAGACAATTAGAAACTTTGAATAATAAGAATTTTAAAAAGAATCATCAAAATTAAAAAAAGAATTTATAATTTGCCCAACACCTTGCAGGTGACCTCATTATCCAACATAGCAGTATTGCTGTTTAAAACATTCTGAACAATTACATAAGAATTTTGAGTTTACTTAAGAGGTTGAATGTTTCCATTGGAGCTCTTGAAAAATACAATCTATTATTACATCAGATACAAAAAGACAGCACTATCATGTAATACGAAAAAAAAAAAAATTTGCTCAATTAACATTGAGATATTAATACAACTATGAAAGAATTCACAAATTTTGTACCAGATATATATATTTGATATTAAGAGACAAAAGACAACTTCAAAAAATAATAATAATAAAAATCACTGATTCCTACTAACAAATGGCCTTTGGAAAATTTTCACTGACCGTGCCAAATATATAACATGGAAAAGTGCAAATAAACATTGAGCTATAGTACTAACAACTAAGTTATACTAAGAAATTGTTCTACAGCAAAAATTATATTAGAAGTCGAGGAAATTACATCTTATAAGCCTTGATGGATTAAGATGGAGATAGTGAGGTTCCTTGAGGTGAATGGTAGCTTGTTGGCTGATGAAGGTGATGTTAGAATCATCAAAATTAAAAAAGAATTTATTAACCACAAGTAAGCTGATGGAAGCTTACTTGAAATCAACGTGCTTAACCACAAATATCATATATAACGTGCTTGGATCTTTTAGGCAACACAAATATAAAACAGTGAATCTTCATGTGTTAACTCAGCTTTTGGGTCAAACACATTTTTTTGAAATTATATAACTTTGACTCAATGGATGTGTAAATATGGGTCACTAAGCCCATTTTTATATAAAAATCCCTTAGATAAATCTCATTTAATGTCAATTTAAATACCAAAAAAAGGAAAAAAAAAAATATTTGTACTTGAAAAAGAATAATAGGTATTTTCCTTATTTTTTTCCCTTTCTCTCTTAGTCTAATGTTAGGTCATTGGTACAAAATGTAACATAAAATTAAATTCGATTTGTAATGTCAATTCATATAATAATTAAGTGGAGTTGAATTTCACCCTATATGGTGTTTAGTTATTTTATTGAATTCTTTTCACTTATATTAATTAGTTGCAGAAAACTTTGGAACTAACCCTATATGGTGTTTCAAAGTTTTGTTTTCATCATTCTCCTTGATGTACCTTTCTGTTATGTTGGTTGATGCCATTTTAATCCTTCAATTGGGTGCAAAAGTGTAACAAGTGTTCCTAGTTAAGTACATAAATTTTTGGCATCAGTAATATATTACTTCAATTGGGAGGGATGTCAAACATAGAAAATTCAAGAATAGAATTGAAATAAAGGTATATAAGAAATTGATTTCCAGAACATCAATATATATATATATATATATATATATGCGTTAGAAATATAGAACAAACACTCACCTTAACTATGAATTTTTTTGTTATTGCTGACTCTTTTTTAGGCAGTTATTGTGTCATCTCCATTTCTTCTTTCATCTCTTTGTTGGTAAGTGTGAAAATAATATTGTATTTAGTATCAGATATATTCACTTTCTTCTTACTACTAAATTACTAATCATATTGAGATTCATCATATTGCTCTTTTAATTATAATATTGGACTTTTATGAACTAAAAAAAGGATAACAATTCATGCAACTTAGAGTATAAGAAATTGGAATAATTAATAAACCATAAAATTGAGAATAATTAAGAACTACTAACAATATTTTTGTAATCCGAAATCACTACTTTTAAGAGTATCTTTAAATTCTTCACCCGATAATTAGTTACTTACTCTATATTTTCCACACATATAAGAGATGATAAATGTTTCATAAGAGGAAAAGGGGACAATTAAATATAAGAAACTGCACTAATCAAGCATGAAACTGAAGTAAGAATTAATTCTAGTTTGGTTTATGTAATGAAGTGTATGTAAAATTATATGGGGTTCTAATTTCATCACTAAGCTCAAGAATCTGTAGTTCCTTCTGTTCTTTTTGTCTGGTTTTTCCTTAATTTTGTTATTGTCCAAATTGGTACCACAAAATTAACAAGTAACATATAATTTCCATTATCAGTCAACATCAACACTTACAGGGGATTGCCCTTTTAGTCCTGACCGCGACACTCGATTCCTTGAGACCTCCACCTTGTGAAATTGGATCGATCTGGTGCACAACCCCTAATCATATGCTAGCCTTGAAAACCCTAATCTTTCCCACCACCAACCCTCCAATTTTCAGCATGAAAACCCATATCTTGTCAATACAAAAAATTCATACATGTGTAAAAATATACATCTATATATATATATATATATATATATATATATATATATAACCACAATCGCACCATCAAATTATATTCTCGTAATCGATCTAACTCACAACATCAAAACTAAAATAAAGTAGACAGTCAAATAAAAGTCACAATTAGGGTTGAAATCGAAGAAATAGTTGAACCATTGGAAAAGAATACAAGATTCAAGCAGAAATAGAAGCTGTAGCCAAGATTATTCTTACAAATTAATGGAAGCCACAACCAAGCTTACTCCTACTTATTTCTAGTTCGACCACCTGCAGAGCCCTTGGAGCGGAAAAGGATTCTTGAGGCATAGGCAGAAATAGATGGAAATAAATGGATTGAATATGAAATCTTGGATTGAATGTGCAAAATAGATGAAAAACCAAAAGAAAAAAAATAAAAACCCATACCAAAATCACATAGTATAGACAGAAAAATACATGAAAAATTACCCCAAACCCTAGATTCGTCCATGAATTAAATTGTGAAGGAGAGAGAGATACAACCTAGGTTTGGCTTTATTTCACACCAAATAGAATCGGCCATCAGAAAGAAACAAAGTGGAGAAGACCTCCATGTTCGCTGATGCTGTGTGCCGAGATGTGTGGCTTGGTCTTGCTTCGCTGGTTAGACAGAGGGGAGAGAGAGAGAGAGCTCTTGAGCTTCACGAATGAGATTTCAGTGAGGGTTAGGGCAGAGAGAGAGGCATCTTGAACGAGTGAGAGAATTCAGTGAGGTTAGGGCTCCAAAGGTAAAATGAATTGCAACTTGGACAAGGGCATTTTAGGCGGCGCAGAAAATAAGGAGAAGGACATTTAGGTAACACAAATTTTAAATAGTAAAAATTTATGTGCCACCTCAGCAATTTAGTCAAACACATTTTTTTAAAACTATGGTACTTTGACTTAATGGATATGTAAATATGAGCCACTAAGTCCATTTATATGTAAAAATTCCTAAATTAAAATTATTTATGATAATATTTTACATAAAAATTAAAGTTGGCCCCTCAAATTTTTTGTACCACTCTATTTATGGTACGTACTAAATCATAGATACTGATAGTTGTAATAAAAAAAATCTATATGGTTCCCTAATATTAAATATAGTTTAATAATGAAATTACTTTTAACCCCTTCAAATTCCAACAAACCTCTTGCCATAAAAGATCAAATTTAGTAAAAATAATATTATTAATTATTATGGTAATCCTTATAACAACATACCATATTTGCGCATAAATATTATTTGTTATGAATTAGAAAGAAAAAAAAAAAAAAAAAAAAATTTTTCGCTTGACAACAACAATGATTCAATGGACAACTTTTTTCTTTAATTTTATTGCATATTATTTATAGACAGATTTTAACAATATACATTAAACTTGCACAAAATATTTTCTTGCAATGATTTTATGTTATTTAAAAATTTTAATTTTACGTTTCTAGTTTGGCCCCACCAATTAAATTATTTGGGTCCGCCCCTGTTTGTATGCATATGGCATTGACGGCCACAGTGGTGGAGTTTGATTTTTTTTTTTTTTTTTTTTGCTAAAGGTCATTTTGGTCAAATAAAATGATATATAAAGATTAATATTGTACTTTAATAATTTAAATTGGTCAATTCAAAAGTTTAAAAGACAATTAAGTACTTTTATTATGGTTGTGGTATTATTATTAAAGTTTGTAAACTTGATGGGACAATTAAATCACACTCTCCCTAAATTGTATCTATCTATTCTTATTACAAACTTAAATGGGCGTAAATGCAAATTACCCTAATATTAATTGTACGGCTTAATAATGCCCATGTTCAACAACAATATTTGCGAAATAAAAAAGCTTGTAGTTGTAGAGCTTTTACAGGTACAAATTATTTATTTATTTTTTTTTTTTTTTTGTCAAAAGGTGAAGTTAATGTAAATAAAAAGTATAATTGTACGAGACCTGAGAAAGGCCCAAGTAGCAAACCCCATTCGAAGCCCAGCTCCAATTGGGAGAAACAAAAAACGAAGCCCAACCAAATGGCATGCTCAAATCCAAAGCCATGGCCCACAACTGTTGATATGTAATGGTGACAAGCTTGTGACCCCTTGGCTCATTTGTAATGGGCTACGGCATTTTCATTTATACACTCAAGTGCTTGATAAAACTGAAAGTTAAGCATTGAAAATTTTAAGTACTGAAACTTTAAATGTTGAATGTATTAATTTGAAAGCCTGTTTAATAATATTTTAATTTTAAACGTTGAATTCATTAAAATTATTTGTTATATACAAAAAAATGAAATCTGAAAGTTGTACATATTACACTTTTGCCCTCTGATACTCCTAACAATTTTATATTTACAATACAAAAATATTAATAAAATTACCACATTCACTCAATGAAATAAATAAATATGAAAATTTAAAATATATGAATTTTGTATTACATAATATTTATGTATGGTATCGAAAAGAGTGTTACAAAGATTAAAGAAAGTAAAATTTAAAATATATGAGTTTCAGATTGAATAATACTTAGATATGGTATTGAAAAGGGTGTTACAAAAATTAAAGAAAGTACTTGAAAATAATTCTTATTTAAGAATAAAATTATGTTATATAAATAATTGATGAAAATATTAAGTCTATGGGTTTTAGATTACATAATACTTATGTAGGTATGGTGTTACAGAAATTAAAGAAAGTAAAATTTAAAATATATATATTTTGAATTACATAACATTTATGTAGGGTATTGAAAAAAGTATTACAAAAATTATAAAAAGAAATTTTATTTAGGAACATAATTCTGTTATATAAATAATTACTGAAAATTTAAAATATATAAGTTTTTGTGATACCCCTCGATTCTAGAGGCACGAGTGATCAAGTCCGAACACAGAATCGAAGGATATCAAAAATAATTTAATAATTTAACAAGCATAGGATACAAAATAAATAAAGAAGCTGAAAGAAACTAAATAATAAAATTCTCCATTAATAAATCGAATAAAATAATTCTCCAAACATATCAAAATCATTTGATACCAGTAACCTTATAGATTACAACTCAGGAATCTATCATTTGAACGCCTTATCCAAAACCCAACTGAAATTGAAATAAAACAGAATCCAAATTCTAAAACATAAAGAAGAAATCCTACGTAGAGTCGAAAGAGTGAATAGACTGTCTTTGCTCAGCACAAACAATGTTTAAGTCTAGAACTGATGAATACCTGCAAAATAATAGTGGGTCAGGCCCACAAATAAGTTCTAATCTATTACATCTCAAACAGAGACCCGATACACGTATACATCCTAATTAACTCAACAATAACTAATATAGTCCATATATATATGCACACACTAAGAAACCTCACTAGACTATAGAGTTACCTAAACCTGAATAGTAGGCAACATGCAAAACGCACATATAGTGGGCATGAGTACCTGGACCTACCAGGGTACACAACAATCACTATATCTAACTACACATCCCTGACAATATACGAAACCACTAATTATGAGGTTCAAGCCCATATCATGATATATAATTATATATATAATCCACCCTATCCAACCATCAAAATAAAGTATCCAAATATTATTTTAATAATATGTCATCCAACTGTTCCGTTTGACCTGACATTAATAAGTAGGACTTAACTATATAGTTAATCTAAACCCTTATAAATATAAATAGGTTGGACTTAACTATTCCATTGATTTATTCCTAAAGTGCCCCTATCCCATAATAGTGCAAACATGATATTTATCATATATACATTAAATAAATATTTAATGAATCTATTTACATTAAATCAAGCAATCCAATTCTTAATTAAACTATTTACATTAAATAAATATTTAACAATGATTTATCAATAAAAAAAATTACAATATTAGTTTAATATCCCAGCATTAATCAGATTAACATTAAATATACTTAATGCAAAAACCATCTAATCAATATATATATATATAATAATTTAAAGAATTACTTAAATATTCAATCCAACCCCCTTAAATCCATTATTTTCTTCCTCTTTCATCGTACATGCTTTACGAAGAAAACAAATTATGATTTCGTCTACATATACACAAAACTGATTCATGTTAAAAATAATTCACCTCGTTCGGCCTGCACACTTTATGAAGACAACAAATTTTAATTTCATCTACATATACAAATGCTAAAAACAATTCACCTCATTCGGCGTGCACACTTTATGAAAAAAGCAAATTTTGATTTCATCTACATATACACAAACTGATTCATGCTAAAAACAATTTATGTTTTAAAAAAACAATAAAAACCCAGACCATCAACAGTGCCCAGTTCGGCATAATAGAATAATTAACACCCATTATTAAAACACAAGAAAATTCAATTTATCAAAATATGAAAATTCATTACAAACCCATTATTAAAACGCATGAACTGTAATTTCCAGATTAATCCATATAATTAGATCTAATTAATTTATTTAAAGAACCTAAACTAATCTAATATGCATAGGGTATGAATCAAAGGAGAATAGAAGAATTAAAACTTGGCTTTAGGATTTTGATAAAAACCCTAGCCTCCTTCTTTCTCTTTTCTCTTCCTTTTTCTTCCTTCTTTTTCTCTCTAAACTCTCTGTCTTTTCCTCAAAAATATACTACGTGATTATTTTCTAACCCACTTTTACTAACCTATAGTTATATATTTATAAGTTAAATAAAATAATCTAACCATTTTCCCAATCCAAGTCAACTTAACAAAGAAAATAATAAAATTAAAATATTAAAAGGTAACTAAAATATGTTATGTATATAATCTATGTATATTCTTATTATATAAATATATAAAATATATACATCAGATTATTTACTAATACTGACGTTACAATATTATTAACTAATAAATTACTTTCCTTTTATATATATATATATATATACACACACACACACACATATACAACTATCCATTGGTACTTATCTGTACCCATCAAACTCCTTATCTAAGAAGTTTATGAGACTTAATTGGTTGGCACATTACTACTAACCATATTCATAAAATAAAATAAAATAAAACAAAAATAAACATGTAATCATTTTACCTACAATTAATTACAAATAAATCCCCACATCAATTCAATCAACCAATTCAAATAAAATGTTTAAGCACATAATTTCAATTAATTATTTAATTCAAATAAAACATTTAATTAACAAATTTAGTCAAACATGTAATCAAATAGCCAAATAATCAAGTAAATAAATAAAAATGTAATTAAAACATTTAAAATAATACCGAGACTATCCTTTTAAAATTAGGGGTATTACAGTTTTGGATATTAAAAAAATGTTACAAAAGATTAAAGAAAGTAAAATTTAAAATATATGGGTTTTGGATTACATGGTAGGGTATTGAAAAAAGTGTTAAGAAAGTACATGAAAGACAATTCTACTATTATATAAATAATTATATAATATTTATGTAGGGTATAAAAATGGTGTTAAAAATATTAAACAAAATACATAAAATTGATTAGAATTCTATTATTTAAATAATTGTTATTTTATAGTGAATCAATATGAATGTTAACCAAAAGGCTATATTAGTGTTTAAAATATATTATGTAGATTTATGTTTTTTATTTTTTTGAAATTTGTTCCATGTAATTCATTTTCATTAATAACAAAAAGCAACCACATATATATGAATCAATTTAAATATAACCAAAAAGGCTATATATATGTCGTGTTTAAAATATTGCAGGTAAAA